TAAGATTTAACAAAGGTTTTTGGCAACGTTTGGGATTAATAACGAAGCTTGTTTCGGCAAAAAAAATTTTGTCGAAAAAGGTTTTGGAAGCGTAAAAATCTTTCCGTAAAGAAATTGCGGAAAGGAAAAGGAAAATAAACGCGTTTGAAAAAGCGCGTTTGGAAACGATTTAATAAAGGTAATATATATATATATATATATATATACAAAGCATTTGCAACTTTTATTTATTAATGCATTAAAAAGTTCGCTTTTATTAATTATCGCAAAAATGTATATTAAATCCATTTTTTAAATTTTAATTCGCATTTGTAAAAGTTATTGGAGCTTTCGTTTTTTTTTAAATTTGCTTTTATTTAGAGGTTATTTTTTTACTTTTTTAAAAAAAAAGCTTTTTTTTTTTCGTTGTCATTTTCCGGTTCAAGCTATAAGGAAATGTTAAAGCGCGCGTTTTTTATGCTTACGCTAACCCCGCCCCTTTTTAAACTCTTAATTAATATGGGCAACCGTTAATAAAGTAGCCCCCGGCCCCGCATTTAAAACAAAAGCTTTATTTTTAACGTTGCTTTTTTTTATTGCTGGCCCAAACGGCCCGCCGGGTGCTTAAACCGGTTTAATAATTACGCCCGCAATTAACGCCGCGGGCTTTTCGTCCTTTTCAGTTTAAAAAGCGAATGGATGTTACAACCGCCAGCGGTTACGGCCGAGAAAGAGGCTAGGAAGGTAAGGGGTAAGCAATCCATGCCCTTCATCCCGGAAGCTTAAGTAAGCTAATCTGCGATTTGCCCGGCAAATCACAGAACGCAAGGAATTTATAATCTGTTTAACAAATTACAAATTACAGGTCCTTGGCAGGAGCGCCGGTACGCTGCCAAACCTGGGTATAAAAGGAAAGGGTTTCCTTTGTTTTAAATAGTTTTTAACAAATGCACCGCCATTAGTTAATTTAAGTTAGCTTCCAAGTAACTTTTGGAGCAAGCATTTAAACCGCACCCAAGTTATTTGTGAATCCCCTTAGTTGTTAAGTTACGTGCTACTGCTTAGTACTCCTTAAGTGCCTTACTTTAAAAGCAAAAGCTTAACTGTAACAATGAAACCTATATGCATGGGGGTATTTCCATTTTTATCCAATCCTTTAATTTTTAAGGTAGTGGCTTTATGCGCCGGTACGGGTTAATAATATAATGCCGTTATTTATTAATAAGGATTAAGCATTTGGGGGTTTGGGGGTGCGTTATTTCCCGCTTTTTTTCGTTTTTTTTCGCGTTTTTTCCGCAATTTGTTAAATGTTTCCGTTTATTTAAAGGTTTAAGTAAAAATGGAATTTTTTAAACGAATTTGTTGGAATAAGTAAATGCACGGGTTATCCAGTAAGGGGTTGCAGGCTTGTTACGTGCTTTTAAGGCCCGTGCATTGCCCGCACGCTTGTATATTTAGGCCGGCCTTTGGCCGGCACCTGCACAAATAAATCTCTTCCAGGTTATGCAAACAAAGAACCGATTTACCCAACAATTGGGTTTGCATCACGTCGAGGATGGCCCAAGGGCCACCCAGTTTAGTAAGTGAAGCTTACCAACAGAATTAGTAATAAACGGTTAACTAAACCCGCGTATAAAAGCGTTTTTTTTAAATACGGAACGAAAAATCCTTTTAATTACGTAAAACGGGCTTCGTTTAATTAGTTATTTCCGTTTGCTTTTATAATTACGTTTTTAAATTAAAAATGAAATGCGTTAAACGTTTGTTCGTTTTTTTTGGAAAAGGGTTTGCAATAAGGATTAAGCTTTTTTTTTAAAAAAAAAGCTATTAAAAAGCTCGTTAATCCGTTAGTATAAATCCGTAACGGGTTTATTTTTTTTTACCCCGCCAGTAAAAAAGCTTATTAATGGTTGTTACTTTGCAATTAATAGCAATTCCAAATATTGGTACCATAACGTTATATTTAAAACCAACGTTTTTTATGCAATTTCCGCTTTATAACGTATAAAAAGCTTATTGTAATACGTATAAAACGTATGCGTATTACTATTTTATTTAGGCCAATTAAAAAACTTTGCTTTATAGTTTGCGCTTTGGGCTGGAACCTTTTTAGAAAAATCGAACGAAATAATATGCGCAATTTTTAAAGTTCGTTTTTTATTTGCAACCGCGCTTAATTTATTTTAAAAAGCAAATGCAATTTCCGTAAAAAAGCTTGTTAACCGTATAAAGGATTTGGATATTTTTTTTGCTTTAAAACGTTATTTTAAATACAAATTCGCTGTTTTCGTTAATTTCGGTTTTACGATCGAACTGCTTTTTTAAAAGCGCTTTTTTTAATTTAAAACACGTTAAAGCCGCTTTAAATAACGCTTTGCCCTTTTTTTTGTAAGTTACCGTTATTCCGTTTAATGTGTTGGAATTCGATACTTCATTACCGAGGAACCTTTACAGGTAAAAACTTTACGGTTCGAATTGCTTTAACAAGCTAAGCTTTTGCTACAACATTTGCTTTTTTGTAAACGGATTTTTTTTGAATGTAATCGTACAAAATATAACGGGTTTGCCCGAGCGTGCTTTAAAAACAAGTGCGGATATAAATATAAATTGTACGACAAAGTAGGAAAAGGATAAGCTTGCTCCGCAGCCTTTGGTATGGGTGCGCTTATGTGCGTTTAGCCCCGCGGCCCGTGCGTGCAGCTCCCAACCATACCTAGCCTACAACCTGGAGCCAAGAGGCCGGGCCGCTGCCCGGCTTGTAACAGCTTCGATGGTATAGCTTTTTTTTTGCGGGTTCGTTATCCAGCCCAACTAGCTCGGGTTTTTTAAAGTTTGTATATTATAAAGCTTTTATTTTCCTGGCTGCTATTATTAATAACCTTTTTAGCTATTTTTAAAGCTTTGTTTTTATTAAGCGGTAAATCGTTGTTTTTTGCCATTGTAGCGTATTTGCTAACATTTGGAATACCCGTTCGCTTGTACTTTTATTTTTTTAAAATTCATTTTTATTTACCCGCGGGTAATGAAAAGTAATCCGTTGGAAAGCTAAAACGTTTAAAAATTTTATGGATTTATTTTGCTTACTATAATAAATAATTTGTAAAGATAAACGAGGCTTAAATAAGGTTTGCTTACGGATTTTGTAATTGTAAAAGTAAGGCACGTATTTACGTAACCCCGCGTTTTGTAAATTCCGCGTTGAAAATTCGCAAAGTTAATTTAAAAACGAAATAACGGGAAATTAACGTAATTCCAATTGCCAAAATTAATTGCTACCGTTGCCCGAATAATTTAAATTAATTAATTTTAATAATGCGGGAAGTTTTGGATTGCTTTTTGGTTATCGCGTCGAAATGGATTAAAAAATAACGTAAAAGTAAAAAATTAATGCTTAAGTTCGAAAACCTTCCGCTTTAAAAGCAACCGATAGCGTTCGATTGTTTAGGATTACGGTAGTAATGGTATTTTTAACGGTACGAGGACTGGTTAAAAGGGCATTCGAAATTAATGTTCGCGATTTTTTTGGGGCACAAAAACCTTTTGGAAAACGCGCAACTTTAATCGCAACGGGGAGTTTTTCGCGGTTTTAATAGCCGATTAAAGGAAGGATTTTTTTAATGGCGCGGTAACCAATCGAAAGGGAAATTAGTTAATTAGGTTTTTTGCAAGTAAAAAAAGTTGCTACTACTTGTTACGATAAAGTAAAGGAATAAAGAGAAAAATAGTAGTACAAATGGTAGGTAAGTAAAAAGCATAAGGAGCTAAAGGAGGGCCTTTTAGGGCGGCTGCGGGCGCACGAAATATCTCGTGCGGGCGGCCCCACCCTTATCGCCCTTATCGGGCGGGGTAAGCCTTTAAGCCCACTAACGATAAAAGGCTCCTCTTTATTTACTTTATCTGCCACACGGGGCTTAACGCCCGTAACACCGGCGGCGGAAAATCGAATTAACGGTTTAAGTAACAGCAATTACAGTAACGGCGTTTCCTAAAAAAGGTTAATTTATTTGTTAATAAACCCCACACAAAACCATTTAAGTTAACCCACCAATTAATGGCTTCCAATTAGCTTATGCAAATAACGCGAAATTTTCAGCCTTTATTAGCTTTTTGTTATACCCACCGTTTTTTCCTTTGCCAGCGCCTCTTTACCAACGCTTTTGCAATAAGCGAGGGTTTATTTCGTATTGCCGCGCGCAAATAACGAAAATTTTAAAATTGCTTTAATTAAAAGCTTTTAAAGCGATTAGGACCCGGGCTTTATTAACCCGGGCCTTTTCGCGCTTTTTTTTATACCAGATTTTGGGCATTTTGGTAAAATTTAGCTGGAAAACCTAAAAGCGCAAAGCTTAAATTGGCGGGGTTAAAATTACGATAGTTTTTTGGCTGTGCATCGTGCTTACAAAAGTTTGGCTAACTATTACCTCTTTCGGCGATACATTGGTTTCCAGCTAATTTGGGTGGGGAAAAATGTTACAGAAAAACGTCGAATTGCCCTGAAAACGCCGAATTGCCCCGCCGCACTTTATTCTGGAGGACCGTTAAATTGCAGGCGCTTTTAGCCCGCACGAGTAGTGCGTTTAAAAGCCCAGACGATTCTGAATAGGAATTAGCTTTGTTTGCATCGAGGTGGCTTAAATAGAGGTGGAAATTTGCAATTGAATGTAGTAGGTTTGGTGTTAATCTGATCCCGTGATGGTGCCGGACTGGGGTGCACTGACTTACCCTGTGCGGCACCAGTACTCCGCACCGGTGCCCGTGCAGATCTTCCGTGCCAAGGCCTGGAACAGTGTGCCGGCTTTTGGTGATAGCCTCATTTGTGACACAGCTAGGAATTACATCTTGGCGGCGCTAGGTAGCCTTTGTAAACCCAAGTGTCCATGTGGTTTCCAATCTATAACTACTTACCACGATCCCACCGATCCCCTCCTCAAAACCTCCAGCAACCTAAAGGCCCAGACTCCCAACATCAACGGCAGCGAAAGAGGCTAAGGCATCTCCCCCGCCGACCACCCGGGTCTAAGTTACGGAACCGTCGCGTAGCACGAGTCGCCAAACACCTCCTCGCGCAGCTGCTGGCGGCCGGGGTCAGCGACGACTGCGGCCTCGGGCGCGGGCGGCTGGGGCGGCGGGGTCTTGAGCACGACGTCGGGGAAGGCCTCCTGGACGCGCTCGGGCAGCGACTCGATGTAGCCGCGCCACATGGCGCGGCAGCCGACGCACAGGTCGACGCCGCCAAAGCGGTACATGCGCCGGGCGCCGTACGACGTCTGGTAGCCGCAGCGGTCGCAGTGCTGCTCGGCCGAACGCTCCAGGTACGCCGGCAGCTCCGGGAACATGAGCTGGTCGCTGCGCTTGAGCAGCGCGTGGAACCGCTCGACCCCCGGGACCTCGGCGGCGGCGACGGCGACGGCGGCGGGGGGCTTGCCGCCGTCGTCCTCGACGCTGGTGTCGCTCCCGCGACTGCTGACCGCGGGGTCGGTGGTGCTGCTGCTACTGCTGCTGCTGCTGTCGACGTTGGTGGGCGTGCTGGCGATGCTGGCGCCGCGGCTGTGACCGCCGGCGGCCTCGGTGGTGCCCTCGTGGTGCGGCTGCTGCGGCTGCTGCGGTACGGCGTCGACGCGGTTCCACAGCTTCACGTTGCGGCGCGTCTCGGCCACGACGACGTCGGTCTCGGCGCGCCCGATGGTCAGGCCCTCCTCGACGAAGCGGTAGCGGCGCATCATCATGTGGATGGGCCCGCCGAAGAAGCGGACAAAGTTCATGAGCGGCGCGCCCTCGGGCTTGCCGGCGTAGGCGACGTCGAGGGCCCAGAGCAGCTCGCGCGCGACGCTGTAGGCGCGCACGCGCGACTCCTCGGGCACGTACGCAAAGGTGTTGTTGGTCTCGCCCTCGCTGCGGTGCTTGTAGAAGGCGACGGCGTCGTAGAGCGTGTCGCCGATCTCGGTCAGCAGCTCGAGCTGGTCCGGCGACGGCAGGCGGTCCGTCACGTCGCAGCAGGCCAGGGCGGCGGCGAGCGAGAAGCGCGCGAGGGCGTCGCAGTCGCGCATGCGGAACCAGGCGCGCGGGCCCGACGCCAGCCCGTTGACGTAGCGCCGGAACAGCTCGTGGTCGCGCCGCCGGCCCGTCTTCTCGGCCGTGATGAGCAGGAAGGTCTTGTACTCGCGCGCCATGAGCGCGTGGCCCGGCGTGCCCTCGAAGAGCGCGTCCAGCACGCCGTCGAGCGAGTAGCCCAGGATCGAGTCGCCCGCCGCCACGTCGACGAGCTCGCCCCGGAACTCGGCGATGATGCCGATGATGATGGTGCGCATAAAGGCGACGTAGCGCTTCCAGTTGGTGTACTGCGGGATCACGCAGCGCGTGTACTCCCACGCGCAGGCGTACACCTCCTGCTTCATGGCCTCGGGCAACACCGTGAGGCCGTCCAGGTCATGGGCGATGTCGTTGGGGTAGTACCACGCGTCTTTGAACTTGGGCGACATGGTGGAGGTGGAGTTAGAGGTTATATGACTAATGGGAGTGATGGGAAACGATGTACTACAGGCAACTGTCCGAGAGTAATATCAGGGATATCGATGCCTGCTGACTGAGCGAACCGAGACCAACCCCAAGACCAAGTCCTCCTGGACAACTTATATATCTGTGTCTCACCGAGCAAATCGCATCGCATCGATCGCACGAACCGGGCCGCCGAGCGATTGTCCGAAATCTGCACAATGCCCAGATCGGTTTTTTCGGACAACCTCGCCAAAAATTCCCTTCCTCCTTTCCTTCATTCCCTCTTGCCCAACTCCCACCCTCCTTCTGTTCTCGCAGCCTGGGACCCTCGCAGCAACCTACCCCGGCTTCGGGCTCAACGCAATGCCGTCTTCTTAGACATGGTGCGGAATGTCCTCTGCTCCGAATGAGTCTTGCCTTTCCCACATTTCCTAGATCTCGGGTTTTAATCTGCAGTTAGCAAGCCTTCGGGTTTTGCTGTCTTAGATGCGCCGACATCACCAAATTACCGGCCACATGGAGAGAAGGCGATGCACGGCGCCACGAGATGTTTGCTTGGGCAAACATGGCCGACCTCATTCTCCGTAGTACAGTCCGGAAGTATAATAAATTCCCGTGCCGACACTCTGCGCTGTAAAGTGGAGTTGCCCGCCTTCGAGTTAGGAGAGGCACGCCAGCTCGCCGTGATCGGCCTCACCCGACATGCACCCTTTTCGAAAAGTGACTAGCCCAAGGCAGGGTACCGACGAAAAATCCCGAGGCCTCCCCCACACCCGCGCCCCCAAGAATGGTGCCGAGCTCGCTTATCTCCAGGGCTTTCCCTTGACTGCATTCTAATTGGATGCCTCCTCCCGCTGAACCCTACCTCGTCCGCCCATCGGTCTCAAACCTTGGCACATCTGCCAAGTACAAGGACGTATTGCAGGGCTTCCTCCTCCTCCTAAATATCTAGGTAGGTAGGCTACCTACCTGCCTTGGACGTGTCGCGATGCACAAGGACACGCACTCCACCATCGACGAGTGGGCATCTATCCTTAGACTAACTCACTTTTATATCATTGCCACCTCATCGTCGGTCCAGCTCGCCAAGTCTATAAGCCTCAAGCCCGCCATGGACTCGCTCCGCGACATGACGGATACCATGTCCGCCATAGCAGCTGCGAAAGTGCTGCCGATGCTCCCAGAGACCCGCTACTCCCTCCACCTCCCCGCTTTGGCCCGTCATCTCAAGGCCGTCACTTCCCGCATGCCCCCAGTGTCGTGGGGCCACGCCGCTGCCGCCGCCGCGTGCGCGCTGGCGGCCTGGTACGTCGTGGCCAGCGCGCGGGCGTGGTACCGGCTCCGGCAGTTCCCCGCGGCGTCGTGGCTGGCGACCTTCTCGTACCTCTGGCTGGCCAAGACGACGTACAGCGGGCGGCAGTACTGGGTACACCGGGAGCTGAACCGCAGGCACAAGCAGCGCGGCCCGCTGGTGCGCATCGGCCCCAACGAGCTCATGACGGACGATGTCGAGATCCTGCGGCGCGTGAGTGCGGCGCGCAGCGGCTACGAGCGCGACACGTGGTACACCACGGGCCGCTTCAACCCCTACTACGACAACATGTTCACCGTGCTGCAGCCCGCGGCGCACACGCGCTTCAAGTCCCGCACCGTGCACGCCTACAGCGGCCGCGAGATGCCCGACTTCGAGGCTGGCGTCGACGGCCAGGTCCGCACCCTCGTCGACGCCATGCGCCGCGGCTACGCCCGGACAGGTGCCCTGCTCGACCTGGGGCCCATCTCGACCTACTTCACCATGGACGTCATCACCCGCCTCGGGTTCGGCCAGGAGTTTGGCTACCTCGCGGCCGAGACGGACCTGTACAACTTCCTCGGGAGCGTCAAGGACCTCTGGCCCCGCATGTCCACGTCGGCCGACGTGCCCTGGATCCGCAACGTCCTGTTTTCCAGCTTTTTCCTCAAGCTCCTCGGACCCAAGCCGCAGGACAAGGAGGGATTCGGAGCCTTGATGGCGTAAGTTTGACCCCAGCGCGCACACGCGTCTGTGTTTACACCTCCCACCCACTCTTTCACCTGGCAGAGACAGCAGCTAACAAAGGCGTCTGCAGGGTGGCCGAGCACCACGTGGGCAAGCGCTTCAAGGAGGGTCGGGATTCCAAAAAGGACATGCTCGTAGGCCACACCTCTACTGGTGATCTGACACCACCCCCACCCTCGGCGAGCTGTGCTAACAATGGATCCGACCAGGGCTCCTTCATCCATCACGGCCTCACGCAGAAGGAGTGCGAGGTAGAGGGCCTCTTCATGGTCGTCGCGGGCACCGAGAGCACCGCGTCGGCCATCCGCTCGGCTCTGGTGCACACAATGTCGACGCCGTCGGTGCTCGCGCTCCTCAGGGCCGAGATGGCGTCCGCGATCGCCGACGGCCGGGCGTCCAGCCCCGTGGTCCGGGCGGACGAGGCGGCGCGGCTGCCGGTGCTGCAGGCCGTCGTGTACGAGGGCATCCGCATGCGGCCGCCGCTGCTGGGCCTGCTGCCCAAGGTGGTGCCGCCTGGGGGAGACACGCTGGCCGGCGTCCCCGTGCCGGGCGGCACCGCCATCTGCGCCAACCAGTCGTCGCTGCTGCGCTCCGAGGACCTCTTCGGCCCGGACCCGGACGTCTTCCGCCCGTCCCGCTTCCTCGACCTTCCCGAGCCCGAGCGCGCGGCCATGCAGCGCAATGTCGAGGCCGGCGCGTTCGGGTCGGGCCAGTGGCAGTGTGTGGGCAGGGCCATCGCCTTCATGGAGCTGCACAAGGTTGTCTTTGAGGTGAGTCGTGGCCGAGACTCCATGCGTGATGCCCGACCCCTGTTTGAAGATGCAGCATCGTGCTGACGCAAGCCAATAGCTTTTCCGCCACTTTGACCTCCAGCTGGCTCATCCACTCAAGCCTTGCGATGTGGCTAGCTATGGTGTTTTTCTCGAGTCCAACTTGATGATCAAGGTGACGGAGGCAGGCAAAGTTTGAACATGACCGCCTGTAAAGTCTTTAGATGCGTTTTGCCACCACGGTACTAGCGCATGGCCATTCGCTTAGGAATAATTTGCTCAAAGGCAACCCTCATTGCATCACCACACTTGAAATTTAATGTATCACTTAAGAGTATCACTATCACTTGGCGTTAACATTGCTGTTGATAATTTTTATCTTTGTTGTTGCACCAACTAACTTGTACCGCTATGCGCTTCCCCCCACTACCATTGCCCATTCTATTCTTGTACCCTAATCTTTGTAGAGGCTTTACCCGTCTTGCAATACCTTTACGCCCTTATCGGCAAAAGTACGTTAGTAGTTGCATGTTCAATCAATGCCATCTTTTAAACCTTCCAAAATGCACTTCCTCTAGGAATCTTTGGGCTTGTCATATTATCTGGCAGTTATGGCAAATGTGTCGCAAACGGATATAAACCCACTTGGTAGGTAGCTACCAGCCACTAAGCGGGGGCCTTCGCTTTTGGCTTGGAGGCCCAATTGGTTCACAACAAAATGCATGTTTAGGTTTAATACGACTTCGTGGAATGTCCGAGATTACGGACAATAATTCACTGCAACTTCATTAGTCATGGCAGTAAACTCTGTGGCGAAGCCAATAGGTTGACGCACACAGGGACCAGGGCATAATATGCTTTGGAAGTTCGGCAATTCAGTGAGCTCACCATCCACGCAACCCAAGCATGGCCGGCTGCAACCTGTCGGCCGCTGAGTCGAGCAGCGCCGACTCGGCCCGGGGGATCATCCGATTGGCGCAACGTCTCGGGCGTTGCAATCATGCTTTCCTCATGGGGGATGGCCTGGCCCCTTGTGGGAGGAGAAAAGCCTCTGGTCCCCTGCGCAAGAAGAGCCGCTCGCGCGAACGTGCCCATCCTTTCGCTGAACACGCTGCTGCTATCAGGACTCCCATTGGTTATCAACCTCGCTTCTTTCACGCTCGCATGCAGATATATGACCCAATTGCTTCATTCCCACATCCCCCACATGCAATACTAGACACGGCCGCGGCACCCTACAGGCTACCGCCACTATGCTCCTATTCTGCTTGTACATCCTGGGGCTGCCGCTGGCGCTGCTCATCGCCCGCGGTTTCTACAATGTGTTCCTCCATCCCCTCCGTCGGTACCCGGGCCCGCTGCTCTGCCGCGCTAGCTTCCTCCCGCTCACGCTGCAGCACTGCCGGGGCGACTCGAACAAGCACATCCAGGCCCTGCACAGGAAGTACGGCCCCGTCGTCCGCGTCGAGCCCAACCTGCTCAGCTACGCCGACAGCCGCGCCTGGTCCGACATCTACGGGCACCGCAGGACCGAGGACAAGGCAAGGCCGCGGGGCGCCCTGCCCAAGGCGTACTTTGGCGTCCGCAAAAACCTCAATGGCGTTTCCGACATTGTTAGCACCCCGCAACTGACTTTACCATTACCCCTCTCCCCCAACCAAAAGCCGATATTTGAGACTGGCGCTGACAGCGGCACGTCTACTGGAACAGCTTAATGCGCCCACTGACAGCGACCACAGGCGTATGCGAAAGGTCATGAACCACATGTTTGCCCCGTCGGCGATAGCTAGCGAGGAGCCGCTGGTCCAGCGGTACGTCGACAAGATGATCGCCCGTTTGCGAGAGAGGGCCTCTCGGAGCGAGGAGGTCGACATGCTGATGTGGTACAAGTATGTTTCTGGTATACTCTCTTCTACGTGTCGAACTCTGCAGCTGATGGTATCACCCGAGTTACACCACATTTGACCTGCTGGGCTCGCTGGCCTTCGACCAGGACTTTGGCTGCCTGGAGAGCGGCGAGCTCCATGTAAGTGACCGGAAGGGCTGACCATCACCCATGCATCTCCCGTCTGCAGAAAGCCTCATCATGGCCGCTCACAACAAGCCATTCTCCGCAGCCGTGGGTGGCCAACGTCTTCAGGTCGATCAAGGATAGCTTCCTGCAGCGGACGCTGAGCCGCTTCCCGCGCCCGCTCGACCGGCTGGCCCACCGCTACTGGACCGACAGCGCCCTAGTCCAGGCCCGCAAGGCTGAGTTCAGTTTCGCCGTCGCCAGCGCCAAGAAGAGGCTCGCCCGGGGCGTCGACGAGGGGAAGCACGACTTCATGAGCTACATGCTGAAGCACAATGACGAAAAGGGGCAAGTTGCCCGACACATCTCGCCTCTCTCCTTCTCCACTGTGGGTTGCATGCCACCTTTCTTTACAGCCCGCTGACCCTAGTTGTCCTGTCAGGCTCTCCGAGGGCGAAATAATCAGCAACTCGTCCATCCTCATCATTGCCGGCAGCGAGACATGTGAGCATGTGGTTCCCTACTACAACGGTTTGTGGAAAGCCCAGTGCAAGGCAAGGCTAATAAAAAGTCGCACCGACAACAGCCGCTGCGTATCTCTCTGGCGTAACGTGGTGCCTGATGATGAACCCTGCCATCATGGAAAAGCTGACGAGCTTGATCCGCTCAACCTTTGCGACTGACTCCGAGATCACGTCGACCTCGCTTGCGCAGATCGAGTACCTGACCGCGGTTCTCAAGGAAGGCGGGCGCCTATACCCGCCGTTGCCTACTGGTCAGGCAAAATCCCTTCCCAAACCTCTGTGCTTCGACTTGATTGCTTCCCCCCCTTGTGCAGCCGAAACACACGCCGGCGAAAGTAGTAGAGCTGACGCTTCTCTCCCTCCTCCCGCACACCGATAGGCCAACCGCGGCAGGTCACAGAAGGCGGCTGCTTCATCGCCGGCGAGATGGTCCCCGAGGGCTCCATCGTGTTCGTGCACGCGATGGGGGCCAGCATGGCGCCCTTCAACTTCGCCGACCCGGACCGCTTCGTGCCCGAGCGCTGGCTCAGGGAGCCGCCGGCCCCCTACGGCGACGATAACCTCGAGGCCTCGATGCCGTTTGCTCTAGGCCCGCGGTCCTGCATCGGCCAAAGGTTCGTACATGAGGACTCCTCTTTCATCCCATCTTCCTCCAAGGGAACTTTCGGCTGTGCTTTGCGTTCGATACTGGCGGCTGACGTGTGCTGGCCGTTGTCTGTTCCCCCAGTCTCGCCTGGGTCGAAATACGACTAATCCTAGCGCGGCTACTATGGAACTTCGACCTGGCGCTGGCCCCCGAGCAGACTCGCTGGATCCAGAACCAGAAGGCCTTTCAGGTGTGGGAGAAGGGACCCTTGAAGGTGCGGCTGACGGAGCGAAAGTAGTCGCCTTTCTGTGCAACGCAAGGGGATAGCGGCAACCCTTGGTCTAGAAAATGGATGGATCGCTTTGGGGGAACACCAATGTAGCCATTACTAAGCAGTGTTTCGCATTGGGCTACGAGTTTAAAGTTATAGGCTGCTCCCGCAACGGTTTGCGATTGTCGTCGCTGGCAAAAAAATAAATAAAAACACAAAAACATACAACACCGAGGATTCCCCAGTGGTCACCCACCTGAGTACTAGTTCGGCCCTCACTGGTTTG